AAGAAGACTCGAGATTAATAACAGAACAACGCTGTTTCTCGCCACAACATGACAGCAAGTGATTAGCCTCCACGAGCTAGGTCTACCGGGAAAGAAGAACCGTTGCTGGATGTCCTTTGGTGTTACTCTATGTTAGTAATGTCGGCAACATGTTGATAGCTTCCACGCCCTTCCTCTGTCAAGAGTAGACTGATTACTAAATTGAAGAAATATTTCACCGCAGCATCCATGTCAGCTCTGGACAATATTCCCGGTCCCAACATGATCATCACTAGGATGGCAGACCATGCTACGGTGCTAGGCAAGGCTGGGTAAGCAAAGCACGAAGGGCGCGATGGTGCAATTGGAATCTCAAAGACGTGGTACCTTCGGCTAATAAATCCCGAGGATTGGGACTTGTCGGCAATTGTGTGTCTGGGGATAGCAGTCGGCCATGTTATGTCAGTGAGAATTCGAAGGAGCCCTGGTAGGAGGCTAGTATGTGGTCAAAGACGCGCTCATTTTGGATCATGTCACAAGGTCCCTGTTACTATCAAGAGTCATCACTACCAAGGGTCATCTCTACTGCTAGGAAGGATAGGTGACGATCTTTCCTGGATAGAAATGTTACGGGTGGGTGATTGGAAATCACGAAGCGTTGCAACCAGGTCGAACCTCGGCATCCGGAGTGATGCAGTAACACTCAGAATTCCCTACGTGAGTGGCTCAAATCGTCCTGTCAGGATTGGTGACAAGACTAAATCGCCCTGCAGCTCTGCTAGTCCCTACCATGCATTTGCCCTGGTCGCTGCTGTCGTCCCTTGCTTTCTCCAGCCGATATATGTTGGTTGGGTGATCAGTAATCATCTGGGGAACACCTCGCGGGGAGATTATATACTCGTCCCGAACACCATCGCGTCTCGGCGTTTCACTGCCGCAGCGCTGCTCATGTTTCTCAGCTGTCGAACCCCGACGGGCTTTTGAGTGGTGTGGATGGAAAGAATAAAATGATTCATGACCGCGGATGAGTTGCTCCAGATATCAAAGCCGCTGAATTGTAGTAACCACGACGATGACGGCAGACGACTCAACCGACACGATGCAGGACCAGGTCCGCGAAGCCTCGTTCCGCGACGACTCGGCGACGGAGAAGGACATGGAGCTGGGACAGCAGAGGGAGGAGGATTCGGAGCGCGTTGAGGTCGCGGGCGAGTTGGACTGGGAGAATGCTCCGGAGAACCCTCACAACTGGCCAGCGTGGAAGAAGCTGTTGCAAGTGATAATGCTCTCTTCTGCGGCGCTCTTGGCGTACGTTCACCCAAATCCCCGTTCTTTAGAGCGAGTCCAAGACTAATCCCATCAGATCCATCGGCACATCCATCATGAGCTCCGCCCGCACCCAGATCATGGACGAGTTCCACGTCAGCAGCACCGTCGCCCTGCTCCCGCTGACCATGTACGTCCTGGCCCTCGGCTTCGGCCCCGTCATCGGCGGCCCGCTGTCCGAGACCATCGGCCGGTACCCCGTCTACGTCGGCAGCGTGCCGCTCGGCGCCGTCTTCGCCGTCGGCGCGGGGTTCTCGCACGACATCGGCGCGCTGTGCTTCCTGCGCTTCATGAGCGGGCTCTGCTGGGGGCCTGTCCTGGCGGTTGCGTCTGGCTCGCTGGTTGAGACGTTCGGGCCCAGGAGCAGGGGGCCTGTCTCGGCCGTGTTTATCTTGATGCCGTTCCTGGGGCCTGGACTTGGGTGCGTGGCACACTTCCCGCTGTGTGTATACTTGCTGATCCGCTTTTAGCCCCGTGATAGGATCCTTCGTCGTGAACCGGAAGGGCTGGCGCTGGACGCAGTGGACGCTCGTCTTCTTCGCCATCTTCGCCATCATCACCACGGCCTTCACGCAGGAGACGTTCCACCCCGTCATCAAACGCCGGCTGGCCAAGAAGCGGGGCGACAAGGTCGAGCCGTCGCCGCCGTGGTCCTCCCAGCTGCGCGAGTTCGCCGTCGTCGCCGTGGCGCGGCCCGTCCGCATGGTCTTCATGGAGCCCATCGTCGGCTTCTTCTGCCTGTACGTGTCGGCCGAGTTCGGCACGCTCTTCAGCTTCTTCGCCGCGGTGCCGTACACGTTCGGCAGCGTGTACCGGTTCTCCATCGAGGAGTCGGGCCTGGTGTTCCTGTCCATCGTCATCGGCTGCCTGCTCGGCCTCGTCACCATCATCCTCTGCGACGTGCTGCTGTACCGGAGGCAGGCCGCCCGGTACCCGCTGCACCAGATCCCGCCGGAGCACCGTCTGTATCCCGCCATGATCGGGAGCGTCGGCCCGCCGATCGGGTTGTTCTGGTTTGCCTGGACGGCGCGGGCGGGCATCTCGTGGGCCAGCCCGGCGACGGCCATCATCCCGTTCGCGTGGGGAAACCTCTGCATCTTCGTGAGCGCCATCCAGTACACCGGCGACACGTACCACGGAAGCGTGGTGGCGAGCGCGTCGAGTGCGAACAGCCTCGCGCGCTACGTGTTCGCGGGCGTGTTTCCCCTGTTCACGCTTCAGAGTATGTACTTCTTTTTGGATAATGACAATTTGAGAGCGGAGTTGCTGACTTGATGTAGTGTACGAGAAACTAGGTATCCATTGGGCAAGCAGCTTGCTCGGGTTCATCGCCCTGTCTCTGTTACCTGTTCCCTGGGTGCTGTTCAAGTACGGGGCCAAGGTCAGAGCGAGGAGTCAGTACGAGACTGTCAAATTCACCTAGATTGTTGGTTTGGGACTGAATAGATGAGAGATGCATAAGCGGCGCAGATGGGCCTCTCGGGTACCATATAAACAGGCATACACTACTTATAGAATGGGCGCATTCATAGAGGTGGAGATAATTGGGATCGGAGCTGGGGAAACAAATCATCCCAGCAATAAAGAAGTTCTTTATTTTTGTCGTCTTTCTCACTGTCTTATTTACATCAATTAGTCTACTGTGGCTGTAGTATTCTGGTGCCATTATTCCTCATCATGGAACTCCATACCTAACTGTCAATAAGTCCCCACCAATGATAGAAACATATCACTAATTGCTAGGAAGCACAACCAACTTGTAGTCCTCGTCCAGGTAGTACCAATTGTCGTACTTCTCTGGTCGCTCAGCGGCGGGAAGAATGCTAGACTCGGCAGGGATGCCAAACCGCTTAGTCGCATCTTTACTCTTAACGTAACTCTTCTTCCAGCTCTTGTTGCTGGTCTGGTTGAAGTTGATCTCGTTCGAGTCGACCCTGTCGCGGACCAGGTCCTCCCAGAACCCATGGCTCTCCTTGATGGTCTTGGCCATGAACTTGGCGCTCTGGTACTCGCCGCCCACGATCTCGAGGACGTCGTCGCCCCGGGCGACTTTGTAGTACTGGCGGATGGTCAGTAAGGCTAAGGGATAAATAGTATGGATTGACGTACGGTGAACCAGCTGTAGAAAGTCGCGGCTAACTCGGGTCGATACTGCTGCAGGTCCTCGACGTCTGGATCGTTAGCAGTGCAAAATTAGAAATGAATAAGACGTAATTACCGTCAACGAACTCAGCTAAAGGGTCGGTCACGTCGATGCCGATGACCTTCCAGTCAGTCTCGCCGCCCTTTGAACACTATTAGCAAGGCTTCTTGTGCAAAGTACCACCGAAGATCTCACATCGTTGAGAGCAAGACCGCCCAGGATCTTGACCTGCTTGATCTCGCCAGTGTATGCAGAGCTAAAAAGTCAGCAAATCCACTTTATTAATTTTAGGTGGCTTACCTCTCGCTAATGTCGAAGAGATCAATGGGGTCATTGTCGCCAGGGTAGCCGGTAAAGTCATGGTCGAAGTTGGGGCTCTCCCACGTCTGCGGGATGGAGCCGTAGTGAAACGGATACGACCTGTGAGGCCAGACGCTCTCCACAAAGCGAGGCTTGTCCTTCTTGTCATCGTGGAAGATGGGGTCTATGCCGCTGCGTCAGTATTACCGGATAGGTGATGGAGGCTGTGTCTGGCGTACTGAGAGGCTCGTCGCGCTTGGTCTCAATCTTCCCGTCGGTCCAGCGGGGGATCTCGACAACGAAGTTGACGACGCGCTTGTTCTTCGTGCTGGGATACAGAGGGACGTCGTGCCAGAAGGAGATGGGCTTGCCGTCCTGCTCGAGCCACATGCGCCAATCCTGCAGTTGGTGAGTTACAGAAACACTCAAGCGGTGTCTTGATGACTACTGACCAAGGTGTTCCGGGCTCCGACTTCCCGCAGGGTGAGCGAGCCGTAGTCAAAGTCATTCTTCTTTGCTCTGGAGGAACCGAGGGCCAAGGCAGGCAGAAGCGCCAACTGGAGGAGAGTAGATCCGACGAGCATCGTGACTGTGAAACAGATGCAAATCCCGCTGTAGCACCTCCGACGAGAGAGTGGGAGTCGGATGGGCAACCGCTTTTTAAACTCCATGCTACCAAGTTATGCTTGTTTATGTTCCTGCGGGAGAATCACCGATCCTCCACAGCGCCATGCAACCGTGCCATCATCGCTCGCAGATAGCGCTGCCAAGAGCCAAACGGGGACCTGAATCCACGGTGCTCGGTGACGGAAATGGGGGACTGTAATCCCGGTCCTGGGAAGTCTTGGCCGTAATCGCCAACTGGAGACTTGGGAGCCAGCACGTGCGTGGAGGACGGCGATCCCATTGCACGCTGTTCCTGGCTGTCGCTCAGGGAAGAGAGCACGTGGGGAATTACTTCAACTGCAAGAATAGTCGCAATGGGGAAGGTCTTGATTCTCGATAGTGATCTTGGGATTGAAGGATGCAAACGAGTCAGCGTCGGTCGCCGACTGAGGCAATTGCGACTAATACACCATGCATCATGGGAACCGCCAAGCATTTGGTTATCCAGACATGAAAATGAAATGGAATCATGTGGGTCAAGCATCACTTTCGAAAGTACGGATCGTCTTTCCCTTCCTTGTGTGATCCGCTGGCCTTTGAACAAAATGCAAAAACGAAGTCATTCAAAAGGCAAAAATATAATCCGCGACAGAGACAAGATTCGAACTTGCGCGGCCGAAGCCAATGCATCACAACGTTTCGAGTGCATCCCTTTAACCACTCAGGCACTCTGCCAGTTGACGATGCTTTGGGGCATGTACTGTGGAGGGAAGGGCTGATATTTTGGCTTATACACCTGAGCTACTTGTAGCATCCACAATAACAGGCACACGCTCATCGATAAAACCGTTGACGTTATACCGTGTATTTTAATATTGGAATGAATCTAGTATATAGGCCAAGATGGCTGGATCCTGAGAAGCTACATGATGCTAACTACGGGCACATTTCATTCGCTCGCCAACGCATCTCACCTCATCCTCGGTCCTCAATGTTGAGAATGCTGACTCACGACCACCACCTTTTACACTTCTCAGACTATCAACCAGACATCCTGACATGATATCGCCATAAACCCAACTCGATTTCACCAGCTGTAGGAATGGTGCCCAAAACTCGTCGGTACAACTACGTGTTGTACCCCGTGCTGTCCATCAACAAACCCGCCTACCCTACGCCGCCAAAACTGCCGATATGTTAGGCGCTCATCGGGTTCGCTTCGCCGTTCAGGCTCTCTACACGACGGTTCGCATGCAACATGGCACTTGAAGCCACGAGCCACGTTTGCAACCGGTGCATTAGCGTCTCGATCCGTGTCGTTTGGCCTGTTGTTGATGTGCTGGTGGGTCTTGGGCTATCGCGGCCCGCAAAACGGCGTCACGCCGTAATCTATTCGTATGCCGGTTGATTCCTTTCAATGACACGATGTATAAAGAGTAGAGAATTAAGTCGATAATTTTTGAATCAATTCACTTCTCGCAATTCACTCTCGCAGTTCACTTCTCTGTCTTTGTAGCCACCTATGATATTGGGACTTCAACGCCAGTTTTCCACCATGAAGCTTGACGAGACAACCTCCAAAGCGCTGCAGAGCGCCCTCATCTCGTGAGTCCTCTCCCAAGAGCCACAACTCGAAATCTAACAGCATCTAGTGCCGAAAGCGGCGTGTATGCCGACCTCATCATCAAGTGTGGCACCGATGAATACCCCGTCCACAAGATCCTCATCTGCACACGATCGCCCTTCTTCGCCAAGGCGTGCGACGGACCCTTCAAGGAGGGCGAAAGCGGCGAGATAGATCTCCCCGATGACGACCCGGAGGCTGTTGCGAGTATGATTTGCTTCTTGTACAGGGGATGCTATCCCCGCGTGGAACCAGACGCCGAGCGACCGCAGCTTTCAAAACTCGGCGAGACGTGGAATATCGAGACCTACGGTAAGAATCCCCAGGTTTACAACCCGGAAATAGCAAAACTCTGACCAGTTGATAGGCGAAGAGACAATCGCCCTGCAAGACGAATACCTCTGCCTCCACGCCAAAGTGTACGCCCTCGCGGAAAAGTACCAGATCTCGGGCCTCAAGGAGATGGCGCACCGCAGCTTCTCCTTCCTCATCCCGCGGACCATCTCGCCGCACAACTTCGCCGAGGCCAGCGAGATCGTCTACACGACCACCATCGACGCCGACAGGGGGCTGCGGGACCTGGTGGTGGACAACCTCTACAGCAAGGCCCATTTCCTCGACGACGAGGCCCTGAAGAAGCTGCTCAAGCGCCTGCCGGACCTGACCTTCGACTACGTCATGTACCAGCATCGCCACAAGGAAAAGTGAGTTTCCGGGCCGAGACGCGGTTGGGTATTCGAGGCGCTGGTGGTGTGTTGGCGAGTGGTCCAATCTACCAGCAGAGCACTGGCTGACCGTTGTCGTCAGAGCCAGCATGGCGGATGCAGTTTGCATAGTGACACCCCCGGCGAGCGATCATGTTGATAATGATGTTGAGTGGATTCATGAATGAATGTTAAATGAAGTTTGGAACGGTAACATTAGGATCCTGCCCTTGACTGGCGAGCTCTCGCATCAAGCACAGAGCTCTGGAACTATGTGTGGTCTGGAATATGTACAAGTAGAATAACAACCGCCCCTAACCCATTTCCCTTCCCGTAAAACCTCCCACCGTAGTTCGTTACTGGCTAGCCACGCACTGCGAATAGTACTCGTTCATGGCCTCGCACACGTAGGGCTCCTCGCACTCAGTCGGGCCGTCGTAGTTCTTGCCGCCGCACTGGTAGTACTGGGCGACGAGCTCCTCGTCGTCATCCCCGTAGCAGTCCTCGTCCTCGTCGTCCTCCGTGCCGGTGGGGACGGGCAGCGACCCGGTGCCGGAGGGCAGGCTGGGAGCGGCGGTGCTGAAGGTGCCGTTGCTCCACGGGGCCGAGTACGCCGTGGTGGAGTGGCGGATCACGGGGACGCGGGTGGACTCGGCGGCCGAGACGACGGCCGTGGTGGCGACGACGGTCTGGTTGGTCGGCAGGTCGAGCGTTGGGTACTGCGCCGCCGGCTCCGAGGAGACGACGACGGGAGCCAGGGCCGTCGTTCGCGTCTGGAAGGTCGTCTGCGGGGCGGAGAAGTTGAAGCCTCCGGTCAGGCTGGTGCTGGTCCGGGTCTGGAACGTCATCGGAGGCGCCGAGACGTTGACACTGGGAGTGAAGATGGGGGTGAAGGCAGTCCTGAGCGAGGTCGAGGAAGAGACGACGGCGCTGATGGCAGGGGTAGATACCGGCGTGGTCTCAGGGGCAGCTGATGACGACACGGCGGCTTCGGAGGAAACAACAGGGCTGGAGACAGGAGTAACCTCGGCGGTGGTAGCCAAGACGGTGGTATCAGCAGCACTGGCACTACCAGTCGCTGCCGCAGCAAGCAGGCTGGAGATGCTCGTCCACGCGGGCTTCTTGTTCAGATCCTCATCGTAGATGCAGGCATCGCCGGCGCCGGAGAAGGTACCGGGCACCCAGCTGTACTTGTCAGTGAAGCCCCAGACAGTGACGCCGACGCAGCCCTCGACGTCGAGGCACGAGCCCACGACGTTGGCGAAGTCGTTGGCCTGCGTCGTCTCGGCGGCCGACGACGCCGGTACCGACGCGTGGCGGATGTCCAGCTCCGTGTAGGCCACCTCGACGCCGAGGGCCGTGAAGCGCTCCAGCGCCGTGACCAGCGAGGACCGCGCGGGCGTGGAGCCGACGATCAGGTGGCCCTGGAAGCCGACGCCGTCGATGGGCGCGCCGGCGTCCTGGATGATCTGGACGATCTCCACGGCGCGGTCGGTCTTGGCGCCGTTGTACTCGAGGTTGTAGTCGTTGTAGTACCTGATAGGGTGTTAGTGAGAGCGCTGAGGGAGAGAGAGTCGCCATCGTACAGCTTGGCATCGGGGTCCGCCTTGCGCGTGGCGTTGAAGGACACGGCTAGGAAGTCGCTGCCCATGGTGTCGTAGAAGACGCTGCTTCGCCAGGCGCCGTCGTCGGCCGCGGCCTCGTTGACCACGTCCCACGCGTAGCAGTCGCCCTTGAAGTGGCCGACGACGTTGGCGATGTGCGCCTCGATGACGCTCGCGAGCTGCTCGGCCGTGAAGCCGCCGCTCGACACCCAGCTGGGCAGCTGGCTGTGCCAGGTCAGGGCGTGGCAGCGCAGGATCTGGCCGTTGGCCTTTGCGATGGCGGGGATGACGTCGGCCTTGGTGTAAGTGAAGGCGTTCTGGGTGGGCTCCGTGGCGTCCCACTTCTGGCCGTTCTCCGGCACCAGCTGGCCGAACTCGGCGGCGTCGTTGACGATGGCCATGTACGGCTCGTCGCTGGTGTAGCCGTTGTCGGCGGTCGTGCCGAAGTACTTCAGGCCGGCGTCCAGCGCCAGGCTGTGAAGCTGGGCCGAGACGGAGCTCGACGCCAGCAGGCCGAGAAGAGCGGATTTGTACATGTTCGAAGGAGTGAAGGAATGAGTGAAAGAATGAATGAATGTCAAGAAAGAACAAAAAGGGCGTCAAAGAGAGACACGCAACGAAGAAGGGGCACACGAAAAGAAGGTGATGCACATGAACTTCCAGCAAAAGACCATTATATCGAGAAACTCAGGACCGACGGCCGTTATTATACCATCCTCGATGAACTTGCGGAGTCACCTCCGTCAAGACCGGACGAAACCCCACTCGATTCCCCCGGCCGGTGAAATAGCGTCCGTCAGTCGCAGTCCAGATCAAGCGCCCCAGTCCGTCCCTTTGAATTTCGGGGGCCGCTTCGTCTCAGGTTCAAGCGCGAGCAGGGGGCGGGTTGGGACGATCTCTTTTTACGGTGACGGGCCCGAAAAAACCTGATCTGACGGCGGCCGAAAAGGAGTCACCGGAAGCATACGATGTCTGGCGTTTTTCGAGAAGAGTTGCGATGCTTGGTTCGCTAAGGTAGACGAGAACCCCCGGTTTGTTGACCTTTACCCCTGGCCTGGCTGCCAAGTCTTGGGTGATCCGGATCACCAACCTAAGATCTGTTATCAGCTGGATACGGCCCGCAGACGCCGAACAGTAGGATCGAGCTGATCGAATATACGTCAGATCATTTCCATTTCCACGCCCGCGTTCTTTCGGTAGTTTCATAAATACCTGTTTGCAACCCAGCTTAGTTCGGAGCACTTCGTACCGCAAACTCTATCCTAACCGAACTCCGAGTTCACATCTTCTGGCGCCTTCGAACCCTGTCTTTCTTTCCATCCTTGTTCAATTGGAGGGTTGTCTGCAGCGTTGAAACAGAGCGGCCGTATCTGCCGCCAGTTACTCTCAAAGGAAATTGCGGAACGAGGCCAGGTTGGGCTTTTCTCTAACAGGCCGGAACAGTCGTCGTGGTTCGTTCCTAGAAAATCTGTCAATAACATGTATTAGGCAGGTATGTACGGGACATTATAAGATCGACATGTATTTGTATCATCCAAATATTCTGCGGATGCATCGCTCCGTCCCAGAAACGCCGCAATAGGCATCGGACATCAGACCCAAGGCGCTCTGCCGGTTGATCCATCTACTCCGAGTGTACCACCCAACGCCAGGCTACCCAGACTGAAAACAAAATCTTAAACAAATCAAACCCCATCGGCAGATGGCCTGAAACGACTTGAACTCGCTCGCCACGTGGGTATTATCATGACTCCCATCTTGGCGCATTCAAGATGAGTCCCATGAGACACCCCGACAACAGCG